AATTCCAATGCATTCGCTTCATGCCTTCGAAATGCCCGCAGTGGCCCTTGTGATCCGGGTTGTCTTCGGCGTAGTGGTCGCAGCGGCCGTCGTGGTGGTCCTGGTGGTCCTGGTCGTCGTGGTGCTTTTGGTGGTATTGGTCGTTTGGCCGTGGGGGTCGTCCTGGTGGTCGTAGTAGTGACGGTGCTGGTAGCTTCGCGATGTACCTGTTGTATGATGTTGTACTTGCATAGCTAGATTTGCAGGCTTTATCTGCTCGGGGTTTTAGTTTTTTTTGGTGTTTGGGTTTTAGCATCAGAAGTTGTAAAACCCGAAGAAGTACAAGCATCCTCGTGTGAAGGCGTTTAGGGTGTAGGATGTTCAGGATGGCGGGTTTAAGCAGTTTGAGGCCTTTGCTGCAGGTTTTACGGTTTCAGTGTTTCAAGATTTGGATTAAGGTTTGGTGGTTTAGGGGAGGTTGAAGAGAAGGTTTTTGTTTGAGATTGTAATTTGTAAGCCTTGTTGGGACGATTTGAAGTGCCGTGCGTTTATGTTTGTTTCGATAAACTGTATAAGGTTGTATATTTCGTGCAGTATCAATTTTCTGGTATGTCTTCTCTGTTTTTGCTGTATGTCACAAAATACGTCGCAGGTTGGGCTCGGGTTGCTGTTGCCTCGGTACTCTGTGCTGTATCCCGTCGGAGTTGTACGACGCTCGTGGTACACATTGCTTTGCCAAGCTCCTGGAGCACACGACAGGCCCTTTCACGGCGCGATGCGACCTGCCGCCGGATGTTGTGGTTTGTGTCTCAGTTCGTGGGCTCATACGGATGAAATAGGCAGTCACGAAGCTGTGGCCCAACTCTAACATGCCAACATCAGCAACGGTCGTCATGATAATGCAGCTACTTTAGTAACGACGCAAAGGAGTCTCGTCGCGGTCTAGTCGCACTAGCACTGGTGCAACTGCACTGGAAATAGCAGCATTTTTGTCGTAAGAGCAATACATGGCAGAAGTACCACTATAGTAGCCCTGCGAAGATGATCACCATCACTACCACCACCGTCGCCGCCTCTGCCACTGCAGCAGCAGCACGATTATACCATTTTTTCTCATTGTAGTACTTCTTGAGCCACCATTGAATCGCTACTTACGACGACTCATCGACGACTATGGCTGCAACACTCTGACGAATGTCAGCGGCTATAACCACATCTGCAGCCCTGCTGTACCTTAAAACCCCAAGCCCCCACTAAACCCTAAACCCTAAACCCTAAACCCCAAACCTGTAAACCCTTAAAGCCCTAAGCTGCTAAAAGCCCTAGGAAATGATCGGCCGAAAGCTCTTCGTCACCTACTCGCCGAATTGCAAGCAGTTTCCCTCAGAAGGCAAGACGTCCGAGAGCCCTTTTGGGTTCAGGGGTTGAGGTATAGCGGGTATAGGCTTAGAGATCAGGGTTTCGGGATCAGGCTTTAGGGTCCGGGCTTCAGGGGGCGGGGATGGCTTCATTCCTGGGCACGCATCAGTGGGCTTGAGTCTGGGGGTCCGCCCAGCTGCGCCAGTTCAGGTTCTGCTGAAATGGCACCGGTCATGGCTTTCACAACGGTCCTTCTTAGCTTGCAGTCACGGATGTAACTCAGCCTTGCATCGAGCAGGCCACATGATCCAGCTCGTCATTGCGCCGACCATCCGGCGAATTTGGCCACTGGAGGCGGTTTCTCATGCTAGTCGTCTTCTCGTTTCGATTTCGCTTGGCATCGCAGTCTTTGCCCGGGGCAGGTGATCGTCGATGCGCTGCGGCCAGCTCGCATCACTGCATTTGGTGCAGGCCAACATTCGGACGCCTCGGAGCCTCTATATATATATATGTATATTTATTATTATTAGTATTCTTATTAGTATTATTATTATTATCACTATTATTATTGTTATTATTATTATTATTTCGGAGCCTCTCAAGTCCAGGCCTCCTAGCGCAAAAGGGCGGAAGCATTGAGGCCCCGGTAAGCTGTACTAAGCATCAATCGCTTAATTTAAGCTGCCTGTTTCAAGCAAAAGCAACGGAACCCCAAACCTAGCGTCCTGGACTCTTCGAAACCCTACAACTCCCACCTCCCGCTGCAAAAGACCCTGAGCCGCACGCCAAAGCCATCCAAAGCCCTCGATTTACCAGGCTTCCTCGGCCTGCCAGAATTGCGGCTGCGCATGGCCGGCCGATTGGCTACTGGTCTCCGGGTGCGCCGCCCGTGTTGTGGGGTTGGCATAGACTTCTAATCAGCCGTAGCTGTAGAAGACTGCGGTAGCAAGCCACCACTACAAGACAAGAGTGAGCTGGCAGCATCAACAACATGCAAGCAGTTATCGGTTTAATCTTGGCAACACGAAAAAGTGTTTTATTGGAGTCACAACAGTAGGTAACAAATTGTTTAGCTGCTGAGTAGAATGCAAGAACTGCCATGACAACAGCCATGATAAGAATATGTTGCCAACAGTGCTAGCACACAGACTCCGAGGGGTCATACTCACCGTTGTAAGCATGACGGTATAAAAAGCAGTAGGAACAGAATCGTGAGTGTATTGGTCCAATGTCATTGTAACGTATGGATTCGAAGTGTAAAGTTTGCACAATGTGTACAGGACCGGAAGGTCTGCTCGAAGAGAGCCCTCTGACTGTGTCCTGTATTGTGATAGTTCGAGTACTGGGAACTGATCAGTTATTACAACGCATCACAGCAGCCATGAGGCCCTTGACCAATGAACTACTAGTGACGATGGGAAGTGCCAGCAACCGGGCCGGGTAACAGTAGAAATGGACAGTAGGCTAGTCTTGTGTACAGTAATACGGTCATGCAGGCAAAGAGAGATCTCTGGCATGTTCGTCATGTCCACGAGTGCAATTAAATCACAATTGCAAGCCGCATGTGAGTAAGTTGTCATCAGCATTCAAACCATCAGCACCATCATCATCGTCGTCGTCATCATCATCGTCATCGTCGCCATCACTATCCCAACCCCCACCATCATCATCGCCATCATCCTCACCATCACCATCATCCTCATCCTCATCCTCATCCTCATCCTCATCCTGATCCTCATCCTTATCCTCATCCTCGTCGTTATGGTACATGTTTGTAGCAGTGTAGCAATAGCAGCGTCATACATTCTTCCGGCTGCAAACCTTACGGTCCTATAACTGGAAGTACAACTGACAATGCTGCATAGCATCTTTCAAGAGGACATTCGGTTCGAGATATATACACGCTTGGCACTGCGTCAAGTCTGACGACATGCTGGGGATGAAAAGATTTCGAGTCCAACGTAAGAACCTGTTGAAGCACAAGCTCTGTGTTTGCAGGTGCACAACGACACGACCCTGTCCTTCGTACCGCCTGGGGCCATACTGGTGCTATGAAAGTCGAACTTCCGACGTTCCATTCAGCTTGGAGCTCCCAGTTCCCAAAATGGGTAGTTTTCAAAATTAGGGTCCCTTTTGGGGTACCCTAAATTATAGGTGCCGTATTATAATAAGGACCCAAAAAGGGACCTAATTTTGACAACCACCCAAATGTCCGGTAGAACCGCCTGATCCCGAAAGATCGAAAGCTCCGGCCTCCAAAGCCCTTCAGACCCAGATCCTCAGCCCTCAACCTCAAGCCCTGGATCGTGAAGCCCTCAGCCCGACACCCCAATCCTTGAGCCCCTAAACCCTAAACCCTAAACCCTAAACCCTAAACCCTAAACCCCAATCCTTAACTCCGGAACCCCTGACTCGCCCCCCAGTGCTGCAATTGAGTCATGAGGCCGCAGCCGCCACAGCGGGCGGCAAGCATTCCCAGCGAGGTAGCGTGTTTTTTGTCTCGTCTACTTTGCGTTGACCTATCGTTGTGTTTACAGTCTTCTATCCCTTGAGGTTATGATTAGGAATTGGAATTTAGGGATACATCGACTTTGGGGGTTAATGAAGGATATAAGGTTTAGGGTTTGCTTTGAGCTATTGTGTTCGCTGTCGCTGTCGCAGATTCTGTCGCTGTGGCCAAGTGTCCAGCAGCAGAACCGTGCGCAAGCTTGATGAGAGGCTTTCTTTCTTGAAGTCTCGCTGGATGGTGGTCGATTCTGGCTCAGCTGTGGCCTCAGCCCATACTGTACGGCTGTATGGAAACTGCTCAACACTAAGCGAGCTCTGCTGCGCACGGATCTTGCACAGCCTGTGCCCTTTGGAAGCGGCAGCCTTGCGACATACTTCCCTGCAAGTTCAATTGGGGCAGCGCTTTTTCGGCGGTATTTGTAAAGACTTAGTCCTGCATCGGATTCGTGTGACGATCTGCGGGCTCTCAGCATGCACAGGTTCTGCTGTGCAGTTGACCTACAAGAACATCCCAGCGGCTTTGGCATGGAACTGGTTTTGGGATTTCGTGCTTTAGGTCAGAGTTCGTGTGTGCATGGAGACATGGACCACAGCAGGGTTTTTGAAGGTCGTCCGACCTGGTGTTCCCCAGCCTTACACATTCGTTGAACATTGGCAGATTGTGTCCAACGTCGATCCCATGCTCATCGTGCAGGGGGACCGTGCTGATGAGGGAGTGGAACATGATATGTATGACTTGGAACAGCTGCAGTTGACTAATCTGCCTTGATTCTCGATTAATCCAGTGCAAAATCGATTTTACGACTCCCAGTTCAAAACTGTGCGATCTTATGAGGTAGTCTTACCACTACTATCACTACCACTGCCGCTACAACTACAACAACAACTACTACTACTACTACTACTACTACTACTACTTCTACTCCTGCTGCTGCTACTACTACTACTACTACTACTACTGCTACTGCTACTGCTACTGCTACTACTTCCTGTACTTCTACCACCACTACGGCGACGACGACTACTGCTGTACCGGCAATAGCAGCACAATCACTATTAGCGCCACCGCAGCGAGTGATATGCTCGCAGCACTAGGTTTGACGTGCAGTCTTTCAAGAGACCAAGCTCTGACTATGCTCAAACCTCCGTGAGAGGATGCGATAAAGATCAACATCACGGGGCAGCTCAGTTTCGCTGGTCAGCTGGCCATGCCGGCGAAGTCGAGAGAGTCTGGTGTTTCCCTGCATCTGAGAGCTTTCTGGCTGCCAGGTTCCCCTGCAGGTGCCCCCGCTGCACCCACTACCAAGCAAAGTTCGCAGCCTGTACCCAGCTACAGAGGCAGGGGAGAGCTGAGACGAGCATGAACTGCTGTGTTCCCACTGACTTCAGGAGGGCCTGACAGTGCTGGGCCCCGACTACATCGTGCAATCCTATGGCGGTACGGCGCTGCGCCTGGTGGACAACTGCAAACCCTGGACCATGAACCCGAAACCTGAACAACAAGAACCCCACAGCCTGACTCCCGAGTGGCTGAGGTTCGAGTGAAGTTCTTGGCAGATGGGCGTGAAGAGGCAATCACTTCTCTGCACAGCTTTTGGTGTTCCTAGTAGCAGTAGTAGTGGCAGCAGTCGCAGTCGCAGTAGCAGTTGGTGCCACTGACATGGACCAAGCAGGACCTACTGAAATTGACAAGACTGACAGTGTTCATACCCGGAAATAAATCCTGGCAAGAGCAAAACTGAATAGACCGGTCGTACTGATACTTTGCGACACTGCCTGTTGTTCATGAAAAACGGTGGCACAAGTGCTGTCGGAAACAAAAAGAGTACCAATATTACGGCTGACAACGTGGCAGTTTTCGTTTCCACACAGATATCTCTAGCCCCTAGCCGCACTCCAGGTTCTGTTCAGCATTCCTGCAAACAGCAGCGAGAGCGTGACTGCCCTTGCAGTCAGCCGCGGCCACGGTTCTGTAGCCTGCTTTGGGATGTGAACTGCGGTCCGGGCTGAGGCGAAGCGATGTTGCTTGTGTCGAGAGGCAATGGCAATCCTGCAGACCTTTCTCTTCGGCGCACATGAACTAAGCAAGTGATCGCCAGATGGATCTGCCAACTCCTCCACGGAGCTCTACGACATTAGGGACATGCGGCTCCTGGGGCAAATCGAGCACCTTCCAGGCCTACCTGTCAGTGCTGCACGTCTGCAATGTGCTGCGGCACGAGACAACGCCCTCAAAGCAACAGAGATCCGTAAATCCTAAATCCTACACCCTATACCCTAAACTACTAAACCGGAGATGTTCAGGCGTCATGGCAGCCGCCCTCTGTCATGGCCGCACCCTGGGCCTGTGGGCTGCACTCGGTACCGGGGAGGAGGCCACGGCCTCCATGCTCGGAAAGTTAGATTCTTGGTTTAGGGCATGTTCACATCTATAATATCTGTACTATGTACGGAAGACCCTTAGGCTCCAGTTTGCACGCTATTCTTGTTGTTATTACTATTATTCTTCTTGTTGTTCTTATTCCTATTACTATGATTATGTCTACTATTGCGGTGCTGGTTATGTATCAGTATGCCAATGACAATAGTAATAGTAAGAATAAACTGTTTTTGATCGTTATCACCGTAGTATTACGTGCACCATCAAAAATTTCTCGTGGTCTTCTTCTTCTTCTGATGATGATGATGAATTTCATTCATATCTATACACTGGACTAAACTTTAAAACATCTGACAGACTTCTGCTATACTATAACAAAAGTATGTCAGATGTTAAATTCAGTGTGTATGTACTGTTTTCGGAATCCTAAGCCACAAACCTTGTATACCCGAAGCCCATACCCGGAGTCCTAGAACTGGGCAGATGCGCATGCCGGGGTTGTCATTGGGGATCAACGGGTCTTGCGAGGCCAATTCGCATACCCTGCTGGGAACGAAAACAGAAACAGATGCTATGCTTCAATGCTAGCTCAGAAGAAGCCGCGTGTTTTGCAAGCTGTCAGGTCTGGGTCTACACGCTGGAACCGTCAGGCCTTTCGGTCTGGATTGTTCAAGAGAGATGTCGCATGATGTCTGTCAGGTGTCACGCCTTGGATCGGTAGTCTTGTGCCCGCAGCGCTTCGGTGATCAGTTCAAACTGAGCAGGCGAGGTAAGCAACTGCACCAGTCCTGGCTGCGTGTCACGGACTCAGAGGCTCAAGTTCTTCGGAGTAAGGTTGTAGGTGGAGGGTGCGTGAACCCTCAAGCCTGAAGGCCATAGCTTAGGGTTGAGGCTTTGGCTTCTAATCCTGAAAGCTCACAGTGCCACCAGAAGGCCCTCGAGTGCCTGAGGCCCGGCTACGACGCCACTGTCCTCTCCATTTTCGAGGCCTTCTAGAATCAGTTTGGTTTTAGCCTAAACCCTGAATCCTAAACCCTAAACCCTAAACCCTAAAGGCATGGGGTGGAGGGAGTACTACAAATTGCAGAATGGCACCGCAGGTCGATCCAGGGTTAGATATTTAGAATCTTGGAAAGTGAGTTTAGATTCTTGGTTCAGTGCCAGAACCCGAAGCCCCCAAAGACCTGCACCCAAGTCCGAAGCTCGATATCCCGCCTTAAAGCTGATGGCTCTGAACCTTCGACGAAGCACCCCAGAATCTCACCCCGAAGCTTCCAGTGTACCATGCGGATGATTCTTGAATCTACTTCAAGGACAGGAGGGTACAAGTAGCATTAAGCTCGATAAGCTTGCCTAGAGTCCTAGAGCCATTCCGCGACCTCCCTTTGAGAAGGTCAATGGGACTGCGAGCATCAGGACCGGCTCCAAGTGGCGCCTGCTATGGGGAATATAAGTCGTTACATCCACAGCGTCCTTAGTCGTAAGCCTACTTAGCTGCGATTGGTTCTTCGGTAACCTCAGGTGTACAAAAACACGCATAACATCCTAGAGAGATTTGAGACATACCCGGTACAACGACACACCTGATCGTGTAAACAAGGCAGATGTGATTTCTTCTTTAGCTCGTGAGGACCGCTCCGTGGCACGATGTCCTTGGCTTCCTTGGTCTGGGTCTTACTTGGAGGGCTTGGGGGGATTTAGGGCTTTCCGGCTCTTTTGGCTTTGATCGGCTTACAGGTCGGGGGTTGAGGGGTGAGGGCTTTAAGGTGCTTATCTTACCGGCAAGCTGCAAAGACCTCTTTAGAGGCGAGTCGCTTGGAGGTAAAGCAGCCGGACGAGTCCCGCGAAGGTACTTGTATTGGTAGTGTTCTAGCCACAGATCTGGGATCTGGTGCTTTTATCGTGTCGTCCTGCCTTGCATCGCACCTAACATCGCTTGCAGCCTACAGCTAGTATTGACGTGATAGTACATGTCTGTATGAAAACATGCATTTATCTGTACAGCAAACACCCATACAGCCATACACGATGCATGATGCTTCTGGTAGTTTCGCTTGATGTTTTGCCTTCACTGTTGCATAGGTTTGACTATTCCTCTGACGGTGACCATGATGATGATAATAATGACGATGAAAAATACTTACTTGGTTGTTTCCTTGCGATGAAGCTGTAGTTCCCAATGACCTTTGAACAGCTCCCAGGTGTGGATGGTTCCCTACACATGTGGTCGCTTGTCGGCTTGGCACCCGAGCTTGGAAAGAGCAAAACCGACGTCTCCACAGGCAAAGAGCAGTTTGGGCGAGCCTTGCCTTCTCTCCGTCTCAGAAGAACGTCAAGCGTTGTCCATATCGGCATTCTGGCTTCAGTGCACGAGGCCCGCAGCCCCACGAGTTGGAAAGCCCGTCAGTCGAGGCTGGTGCTGCAGTGAGTGTGTCATGCTTCCAGGCTTTTTTGCCGGGCAAACTGTGCTGCTGCAGTCTTCTGTTCGTTGCATCTCCGGATGGCGGTCTCGTATCGAGGCGAATGTCAGGGTGAAGCTAGTGTCGCCCCGGGCATACCGCAAAGTTGGGCTCAAGCAAGGAAGCAGGCAGTGGGACTGTCCAAACTTGCTGGCACCGCAGCAGAAATTGGGGGAGGGGGGGGGGTCTATCATTGGATCGCTACTAGTCGGGTTTTTTAGCAAGGCAGCTCTCACTGCCACCAACTACAACTGCTCTTCCAGGAGCCCACAAACTCTCTTACTAGCTACAGATGGACCTTCAATCAGTACACGAGCCTGAGAGGGTCTTCTGCTGCAGCTGAGGTCGCAAAGCATGGCGCCAGCCGTTACTACTTGGCCCTGCTCTTACCGCCCTGTTTTTGTGGGGAAAGGCGGCGGCCTCTTGAAACTCCAAGTAGTCCCAAAACCGAAGCCCTAAAGCCTTCAGAAGAAAGTGGGAGCATCTTGTCCACGATGTCTGATCTCAAGGTCTTCGGGCTTAGGGTTCGGTGTTTTGGGTGCTGGGTTCAAGCAGGCGATGATTGTGTTGGCGAGCTGGGACCCTGTTGTGTTGGGCCGCTTGGTGGGTTTGAAGTTGGAGATGACGGGTCGGGGCTTAAGGTTTACGGTTTGGGGTTTAGGGTTTAGGGGTTTAGGGTTTAGGGGCTTGCAGTAGTCAGGGCTTGAGACCTACGGCTCAGGAGGGCTTACTTCGTTCCCGGGTAGGTCTGTGCAGTATCTGGCAAGCTGCGCTTCGGCTAGCGGCTAGCAACAGTCCAGCTCAGTAGTACTGGTAATGGCAACTATAACAATAATAATAAGAATTATAATAATAATAATAATAATAGGAACACTAGTAATAGTAAGTGCTCACGGAACACTGGTACGACTCTTTCTTAAAGACCCATCCCGAGCCTGTTGCTTCCTCAGGCGCCTTCAGCTGATTGTCATTGGGTCCATGCTCAGTCTTGTGAGTGTCTGGGAAGCAAGGAGTTTGTCGAAGCTTTCCCTTCAAGTTCGTTGGTCGAAGCTGGAGAACTAAAGTTGTGATTGAGCCAGGCGTTCATGTCCAAGCTCATCCCCTCACCCTAAACGCAGCGGCTGGTCTTCCAACAAAGCCAGAGGTTTCTATCCCCGACAACATGGAGTTGTGTAATTGAGCTTTGTAAACCCAGTAGTAGTTTCACGAAAAGGGATCAATAGTCAAAATCGTGCCATCTCAGGCCAGGTCACTTTCATCGCAAGCCAGCCAAAGATGCCTGCCGCTTGGCTGCACCAATGCCCGACTTCCCAAATCCTTCACTGAACAAGGGAAGCCCTCAAGCCTCAAGCCGCGAGACATTGCGAAGTTTAGCTTTGGACCTCCAGACCTTGAGGTCTTCTGCCCGGACTGGCAAGGCAGCAGCAGCAGTAGCAGCAGTAGCAGTAGAGGCAGTAGAAGCAACTGAATAATCTGAATAGTCGTCGTTGCAATATTTCAGTAGCCGCCGTCATCAGCGCTTGCCGAAGGCCATTCTAAGCTTTGATGCTTTGTCAAGCAGGCAGATTTCAATTTCCCCGTTTTGCTTAAACATGCTTCACGAGTCCTTGCTCCGATGTTCAGGACCGGGCTATGTCGGCTCTGCGCAAGGCACAGGCCTGCAGCTGCAGTCAATGGGATGATGGAAATATCATCGACGCTGACAACACGCCACACACCGTTGGAAATGTGATAGGCGTAGGCTTCGCACCAACCAAGTCACACGTACCGTCATGCCATCAGCCATGCAGACTGCAGACCGAAACGGACGTCACCAGGTACAGGTAGGGGACGGAGGCAATCTTGGATCGACAGACAGACAGATAGACATGCGGACAGCCACACGGCTCACACGCATGTAGGAGGTTTAGGCAAGCAGATAAGCAGACGCGTAAACCTTGACAAAGGTAACAGAGAGAGAGAGAGAGAGAGTAGCCATTTTGGCTCAAGGCCGCGAGTGCTCAAGGACGTGGGGGCCTCTCTGCCCTTCGCCACCTTTCTCCACTTTCTTCGGGGCCCCCCGTTCCTGCAACCCGGGCGCCTCTCCTCTTTCCACTCCTCGTGCCTCTCTTGCCGAGCGATTGCAGGGCACCGTGAGTAAGAAGTTCACTGTTCTTCGAGACCATCGCTTCTGCCGAGGACCTCGTTGTGCAACGTAGCTGTACGG